GGGAAAGAGCTAATGAGTTCAAGGGCAGGCATGCAAAGGCAGGACAGAGTGTTGGGCTAACCAAAGCCATGCAAGACTCAGCAAGGACACATGCAAAGTCCTGCGCTTGAAAAGGAAGAAACTGTCACCAAGGTACAGGGTGGGGACTGACACTGGGGGCTGGTTTTGTGAGAAGGACTGGGAGGTTTTGGTAGACGGCAAACTGAACCTGAACTACCAGTGTGACCTGGCACCCAAGGCGGCTGGCATTCCTTTAGTCAGCATGGCCAAAGGGATGGAGACAGAGGACAAAGTAAAACAAGAGATGTTCTGGCTTGAAATTAGAAGGCGGCTTTTCATCATTACAACTACCAAGCATTGGGAAAGGCTGTCCAGGCATGCTGTTCGGTCTCCACCCTTTGAGGTTTCTCAAGTCAGACCAAATAAAGCCCGGAGCTACGTGGTCAGACCTCACAGCTAAGCCTGCTTTGAGCAGGAGACTGGACTAGGTGACATACATTGCAATAAAGTCTGGAGGTAATAACAGCAAAATACTGTGTCAGACAAGTCTGTTTTATAAAGTTCAGTAGATATTAATTTAAATTCTACAAAAACATAAGAACAAAACAAAACACATTTACACCTTTGCTGCATCTGAAACAGTGTCCCAGTTGCCTCCACTTAAAGAGAATTTTCCACTGCCTATCCGTACCAGGATCTCCTCTGGAGTATCATTAGGACCATTGGCAAATGGAGTATAGCTGTTGAAAGAAAAAAAAAACATCAAAACACCTCAATATAAGAAAGAAGCTGCAAGAGACTTGTAAAATCTTGTGAATCATTCTGAGTAGATATCCCACTGCTGACAGAAACACACTATATACTATTAAATACTTCTTATGTTAGCATTCCATCTTCAATACAACATTACTTTCTTTTCCCCATAATTGTGTGGTTAATCAAGTAGAATAAATGGGAAAGGCAGACTAAGACGATGTCTTAAGTTAATATCTTAATAATGCAAATTGGAACAATTTCGAGTAGATAGTATTTATCTGTAAAACAAACAAAAAAAATTGCTGGTTTTTTGTTAGAGCAAAAATAAGAAAGCCTTTTATGATTTGGCAACCAAGCACTTAATAGAACTTAATTGTTTAGAGACTTAGAAAATTTAAGAGGTCACAAGTCTGTGTGTTCGACAAAAGGGCAGGAAGTCAAGCCTGTGGCAGGAGATACAAGAAGGTGGACCACAGGGGTGCTACGGTAGAGAAGAGGTAGAGGGAGAAAGAAGAAGAAAACCACCATATACTTTCACAGACTGAATTCTCTCCTGGAAACTAGAGACAGCCTTTGGCATCTCCCGGCCCTGAACTACTGAAGAGAGAAGCCTTGCACCTACCTTTAAGATAAGCCTTATTTATGTATGTATTTACTCATAGCTTCCTGTTCCACTTCAGTGTCTTTGTCATTCTACATTCAAATCAATGAGGTAATACTTTATAATTTTAATGAACGCATGGACTCATGCAGCATGCTGGAATTTTAGGTAAAAAAACCAAAAAAATAAAGCTGAGAAATAATTCTCACCCTGCCAACATTGTGTAAAGAAGAACACCCAAGCTCCATATGTCACAAGCAGCATCATATCCCTGTCTCATGAGAACCTATAAAACAAAGAGCATTAAAGACTTCTCATATATTAAAAAAACTCACTCCAAACCAGTACCACTACACAGCTAAAAGAAGGGTAAATCAATCCCAGGGTAATTTTAGAGGTTTGATCATTTATTTTTCAATATACAGGTTACAGTAATCAACATTATTTCTTGTTCCCAGAATATCGTATCTTAAGATTCTCAACAGGCTTACATCTTACTTTTGAGGGTGGATTATGTTATTTTTAAAGCAGGGTTATTATAAACATATGCACCACTGTTTATAAAGTACGTATAATTAGATTTAAGGAAAACTAGTAGAATTTGTCTTTTCTTTTCCTTTAAGCTCTGCTCAAAAGTTGAAGTACTTAATGCATCAATAACAGCATAGAGAAAATGCATGGCAGCTTAAGATACCTCTGGTGCCACAAAGTTTGCAGTGTAGCACGGAGTTAGAAGTAGTCCATTTTCACCTCGAAGTTGTTTTGCAAATCCAAAATCACAAATCCTTATAGAATCAGCATTATTTGAATCATCCGTATATAAAATGTTACTAGGTTTAAGGTCTCGATGCACTACCTTTAAACAAAGAAATTTAAAAATCTATCATTCAGAAGTTGCACGTGTGTTTTGTATGTAAGTTGCAATTTATAAAAACCGTTCTCTAGATTAATATACTTAATAACAATTCTGGAACTTGGAAGTAACAAAAAAATCCAAGTTCAAGTAATATCATAAAAAAGCCTACTGGCTTGTAACACAACTGGAACTAACAGAAGTATTTTCCAACAAGGATAATAAAATAAACATCTGCTGTTTCATAAACCATAGAAGTAGAGTTAAAAGGGCTTGCCAGAATAACAGGATGAGTTGTTAATGTTATTCACCTTTGTCATAAAATACTCAGAAATCATCTTCACTCCTCCCATAAAAGCAAGCCAAACAAAGCACATAACAGAAAAGGCATTTGTTAATTCTAAGAAATGTGAAAGAAGCGTGTCATAGAAGAAATCACTCACTCCTTGGCAGTGCAGGTAGTCCACAGTCTTAGTTATTGTGTATAACACAGCGCTGGCTTCTCGTTCCGAGAAGAACTTCTGTCTGAGGATTCGATCAAGCAGCTCCCCTCCTTTCATCAGTTCAGTTACAAGGTATATGAATCTACCATCATCATACACCTGATGAGAAGTTTAACAAGTGCATACATATATAAACACACACATACCTTATAAAAGATCATCTATAATTGTACCTCCTGATAAATTAAAATTACAGACCAGATTGCTCACCTATTCACTTTCACAAACAGCAGGGACTGAAAAATTTAATTCTGCAATTCAGGAGTCTTAAAACAAAGTATAAGATAGCTTATTTGTTAATTATTATTTCATGACTTGGAATTACATTTTTCAGCCTAGAAACGTCTGCAGTAAGGGGAGAGTAGCACTGCCACTACTTATGGCTCTTCTCCTCCATGGACAATTTTTAGCAGCCAGCACTTTGCATATAAAGAACAACATGCAACTGCTGATTCAGATTACCAACACATTAGCTACTTGCTTGAAATAAGAACACAGCATTTCTAACCTTTACACTATTTCTTACTTCAAGTCCATTAAAAAGCATTTACAAAAAACTAGTATCAGGACAATGACATATTTTGAAATACTCAACACTACATACTGCCCTCCAAACATACTTTATCATGTAAAAAACATTTAATGACTCCCAATAAACTTCCTACATCATTACTAATTTATTGCCTACTGTGTAATAGGAGGTAATAGAGAAAGGGAGGTACATACATCCTTTAAAGTAATAATATTTGGATGTTGTCCGTAACGCATGAGAATCTCAATTTCTTCCGAGGGATCCCTCTTACTTTTATCAATGATCTGTAAAATATAGCAACAGGAAAACAACTTGACTAAACAAAGCCTATCTAATACAGAAATTTTTTTATATTTATAATCTCACTTCAACAACAGAATAAAAAAAATTCAAGTTCATTAATTCTTAGTAACCATGAATCATGACTAATTCATATTCCAGCTCCACATCCCACTGTTTCTTGTGGGAACAAGAAACCACATCCACATCACTTCTTGTTCTATCCTCACTACTAGTTAAAACTGTATCATTACTGCAGTCTATTCTGCTCCAAAGGACAAGGAAATGCAATGAACTGTCTGAAGCATTGCTACTCCCCTGCAGCCCAGTTCCACTCTTGCAGATCTTATTTTATTTCAGGTTTTATCATCATACAGTATTTTCAGCCTTCAAGACTAATTGCAAAGCCAGTTCTTCAAGGCCATAACTAAACCCATATGATGTTCTCACATCCTATGAACAGCTACAGCAACTGGAGAATTCATGCAGTTAAGTTTGCAAGTCTACTACACAATAATTTCAGAACTGTGTCAGTGAAATTTATTCAAAGTACCTTTACAGCAAACTCCATGTTTGTAGCTATGTGTATGCATCGCTTGCAGACAGAGTAGGAACCAACACCAATATCTTCTTTCAGTTCATATACGTCAGTAAACTGTGCGCTGTTTCCATGAAGTTGCTTTAAAAAACAAACACATACAGTCATCTACAGCAACAAGATGCTCTTTGCCTTAATACTGCTTCCAACAGTCAAAGTTTCTTCGGCTTGCCCATGCTTTCTCTTGGTTTCTGCCTCCAGAAAAACAGCAACTCTTTTTAAAATTTAAATTATAAGTTTAATTTGAATTTAAGTAATATTAACAATGTACATTACATAATAGTCTCCCCAACAACAAAAAATAGACTGTAAGCACCAAATATTAGTCTATGGCATGCCAAAAAAGTTTCCCAAAAAATGTTACCTGTACTATTGGCAGTATATTGGTGAGTGGTGATATTTTGTGATCTTCTACAGTAGTAGTTGCAACAAAACTAAATCCTTTGAAGAGCTGATGTGCATTCGCACTAGGTGGAACTCCTGGAGAATCTGATGGCATACACATTTGATTAGCGTGGCTAAACCCCAACAAGGTTATTTTTTAACATTCAGGAGAGATATGTTGAACGAAACATTTTGAAGAAAGGGAGCAAACAAGAGCAACACCAGATATTGAATAAGTCAGTTATCTGTCTTCTCTTACTTCAGTAACAAACACAGAGCAAGTATTCCTGGGTTTTATCTAAAACAGCAAAACACTGCAGGAACTAACGCATGAAGATGTATTTTTGGAAAGAATTTTACTGATTCACAACACTACTTATAAGAAATAAAGATCAAAGTCTTATGTTCAAGGACTGCATAACAACGAAGAGCGCCTACAGATTTCGATACTTCAGAGGTGTATGTGCTGCTGGCGAGGCAGAAATGAGGCAATACAGGAATACTGAATTAGTAGTCCTACTGAATAATTAGAACCAAATTTTCCTCAGACTGATTATATTATGTGCACCTCTGAATTCTCTGTTTGAAATTTCACAGTAAACATAGCTTGATGATTCCGTGTAGCCTACTGGAACTGTAGCCGCCCTCCAAACATGACAAACAGTTTTAAAAGTTGGATGTAGCAGTAAAGAAAAAAATTCATGAAACAAAACCTGAAGTGAAACTTGAAGCATACTAAGCAACAACTGTTTGCAATTACTGTCTTTGTTTCTAAGTCCAGTTACTTGGACATT